TGCACAAAGTCAAACAATACTAAGTAGAAAATGTTTGTCTGATCTGAATTTGGCCTCAGATCGCTGTGGAGCATGGTGAGGAGTCCTTAACTGGGATGACAGGAAAGTCGTCAGGGACATCATTCAAATACCATATGGGAGATGCACACGGAATTAGGGAGAGGGACCAGCAGTTAGCTTAATGGCTTTGTCACTGGACTCCCATGTAGTCGACTGCAGTTCGAGTCCCGGACCCAGTGGCTTAAACTCACGCCAGGTGCGTGTGCATGCGTGCCCAAGATCCTGAGAGAAGAATGGAGGAGAAGGGATTGCAGCGTCGCCATCCCCCCTGGGGGGTTATTTCTCACTTTCTGTCTCTCTGTCTCTCTGTCTTTCTGGCGAGCACATGCGAAAACCTATAGCGAAAACCTCTCTGAAAAAAAAAAAAAAAAGAATTAGGGAGAGTGTTGGTCCCATCCTGGGTCTAGCCCTTTCCCCGAAGGAGTGTCAGTGGGGCACAGGGGTACTAGCATCAACAGGATTTCAGATCCAGAAGTCTCTCTGTAAACTACAAACCCACCTCAGAAAAAGGCCTTTGTGCTGCCGAATGTGTGTAGGGGGAGGGCGGGGCGGGGTGGGGAGAGTGCTTGACAGTAATTCCCACTGGCAGAAGGCCTGGAGAAGAAACCTCAGCGTGCTCGGGCAAAGCATATCCCCCAGGTGCCCTTGTGTGCTCCGCGTGCTCTGCAGAGTGGAGAGCAGAGCGCCTGGGAGAGCAAGGATGAGTCCTCTCTTGAAGCTGGCTCTGGGCCAGCTCATTTGGAGGCTGAGCTTTAGAGGGCTCAGCTGATGCTCCTGCCCTTTAGGTTGCTTGAGAAAGATCAGAAATACTGGGCTGTGGGTCCTGCAGCAAGCCCTTCAGGCCCACCCTCGCTCACCATCTTGGTGTAGAAGCTTCCCCTCTCTAGGTACCCAGGGTTTTAAAGCAGGCTGGTGGCACAAAACACCCAGAGTAGGGTCGGATATGACAGGGTCACTGGCCAGCACTCTCCGTCCTGCAGGGCTGCTGCCTCTTCTCACAGCTTGGAGGGAACCCAGGCCAAGGAGGCCACTGGCTGCCCCTCACTTCAAGCCTCCACTGCCCAAGACCTGCAGTTCCAGTACTGCTGTGGACTTTGCATCCTGGGCAGTGGTCACCAGGGTTTAAGAAAGTCTAAAGGAACTCACCTTAGGAAAGGCTCGTGGAGGCCAGCTCTAGGGAGACCGCAAGGTTCCCTTGAGCCCAGAACCCTTTCACATCACAAGCCTGAGGCGTATTTTTTCCTCTCACTTGGGGCTGGCTGTTGTGTTATGCCGGTATTTTCATTCTCCATGTGTCAGCCAAGGTCAACGTCATTATTAGATTCAGCCCTCATTCCCAAAGGCCTGGACCTGCTCAGCAATGCCTACATCAGCTGTGGCAGGCCAGCCTTCAGGTGCAAGCCAGCAAGAACCACAGTATGTGTGGCACGTGCTGGGGACCCAGCACACATCAGCTCCTACACCTCATCCGTGCCCCGGTTAGCCATGTCTCATCTCCACGTTGACTCCTGGGACCCTCTGCTGCTCCACTCCTGGGATAAATGTCCTTTTTCATCCCATTGGACTTATAACAAATCTTTTTATATATTTTTTTAGGTTTGTTATAGGGCATGTACCCTTCCTAGGGCAAGAGACAGAGTGAAAGTGAGAAATCACACCTTAAGAGGGCACTATGCTGTAATCCTTTCTCCTCCATTCTCCCCTCAGGACTTGGGGCATGCCTACACACGTGCTAGGTGTGTTTTTTTCAAGCTGCTGCTTCCAGGACTCCAACCAGGCAGTCAGCCATGTGGGATCCAGCCACCTTAACCTCCCTGCCACCTGGCTGGCTCACAGATCTTGAACCCAGAAGATGCTATATAAATTTGTCAGCAATCAAATCATTTTACCAACTTTTGGCCAAATTGTGGAGATGTTATTATGATTTTTTAAATCTTGTTCATTTATTTATTTATTTTTAGTTTGACCAGAGAAGGATAGATAGAGAGAGAGAAACAGTGAGAAAGCAAGCCGCTGGGCCTGGGACTCGAACTGCAGTTGGCTATGTGAGAGTCCAGCGTCCTTAACCACCACACCACTCACCAGCCCCTGGAGATATTATCTTTTAAGCTCCAAAGTAACTTTTTACACTCAAAAGTATTATGAGATGATGCTCATTTGGCAGCTCCCAACCTTAGTGACACCACCTGAGTGGGGGGCCTTGCCGTTTGTTTGTTCAGTTAACAATTTGTCTCAGAAAACTGAAAGTTATGCCCCAAATTGTCATCAGGGATTATCTTGCAAAATTAGGATTACAGAATGCTCTCCCATTTATACTAAATATGAGTCTACAAATGTTTGAAATTTTCACAACACACTTAGGTTGCCTTTCTCATTAGATCATTTAAATGTTGTTAAGTAAATTAAACAAATCAAAGAATGTTTTTGTTTCTCCCACTCCCACTTTTTATCGTTTAAGAAAGGGACATCTATTTCAAGGGGTAAAGGGAGTCACTTGGATACAACCCCTGCCTCCTTAGTGCTGTGGATCTCCATGAGTAGGAAGAACCGCAGATGAATGTCCCCATCCTGGAGCCAGAGGTGATTGCCATGGTTTCCACGTGTCCCTGAATAAACAGTGCACCCTTGAGGGGAGTCTGCAGCCAGAGCACTCCTAACTGCACATCAGAGCAAATGAAGGAGCTGGGTGGGATGCAGGGACTGAACCCCCACCCCCCATCCAAAGGGAACAGGCCCGCCCCTGTGAATAGGTTTACTTGACACGTGGGTGACAGGAGAGGCAAGGGCTCCTCTGGAGATACCCCTGGCCGCCCCACCCAGTAGAATAAAAGCGCTCTCATCACAGCGCATTTGTCTGTCTGGATGACCAGGCTTAAGGCCAGCCCATGGCTGTCCCACATAGCCCCTCCTCCGAAACACAGAGGGCCCTGTACCCACACACCCACGACCACAGGCAAAGGAAAAGCCATGAGCCTTCCTTGGATTTTTATTTTTTAAGTTTGCTTATATTCTTTCTTTCTTAAAAGAGAATGAAAGCAAGAGGAAGAGAAACAGGCACCTTTCACAGGGTCTGGTCACACCATGATCCCCTTTCCCGAGCCCTGCAACTATTTGAGATCTCAGGCACACACCTGGTGTGTTTCAGGTCAACTCGGGATCCAGACCCACCGTCATCCATGTGTTTTCCAGCACTGCAGGATGCTGCTGCCCTTACCTCCAAGGCTGGGCCTTCCTAAGTTCTTATAGTAAAAGCTTGTGGCCTCCACTGGCATTTATCCCAACACCCTAAAGAGCCAGTCCCCAAATGCAACAACCATAAGAGCCAATCTGAGTTCTGGCACAGGAGGGAGAGCTGTAGGGGAAGCGCTCCGGGAGCTCTGGCCTCTGGATGGGGTGTATCCTGTGCAGTCCAGAGTGGCTGGGCAGGGAAGAAGCTGGAGGAAGAATAACCAGATCTCTGCCCTCTGCCCCCAGGTCTCCTGCTTGTACCCTCCACTAGCCAGTTAAGTACTTAGCTGAATACTTCATGTCTGGAGACCTCTCTGAGTACACTGGGCATGCACTGGGCCTGTGATCTGGGACCCCTTGGGGCTGAGTGGCAGTGCCAAAACCCTATTGGGGGTATTGTCTCTTTCTGTCTTGCTCATGGAATAAATAAATAAATACACATTTTTAAAAATAATTATTTTATTTAACTTTATTTATTTATTAATTTGACCAGAGACAGACAGAGTGAGAGAGAGAAAGTGGGAAAGCCAGCCACCAGGTCCGGGACTCGAACCACGGTCGACCATGTGGGAGTCCAGCACCCTTAACCACCACGCCACCTGCCGGCCCCCAAATACACAGTTTTAAAAATGTGTATGGAGCCAGCAAATGGTGTGGTGGTTAAAGCTCTGCACTTCCACCTAGCTAACTGCAGTTCAAGGCCAGACCTGGCAGTTTGAAAAACACACCAGAGCATATGTGTGCATGCCCAAAATCCCAAAAGGGAAAATGGAGGAAAAGGGATTGTGATGTGGCCATCCCTCTTGGAGATTGATTTCTCACTTTCTCTCTTTGTCTCTCTTTCATAAGAGCACTTGCCCTATGGTAAAAAAAAAAAAAAAGCTGAAAGTATAACTATTATGAGGCTGTATTTTTAGAAATACTTGTGGGCCAGATAAAAACATTTCCATATTCGTTCCAGCAGGCAGGCATTTTGCTGAAAGCTCTAAGTCATTCGATAGCTGGTAATATAAATATACTATTTTTGTTGAGGTACAGGATTGTAAACTCATCTCTTTGTGACTAGTAGCACCTTTTCAGGAATATTGGCCAAATTTGCAGCATGTCTGTCACTGTGCAGATGGTAAGAAAAGTGACCTTGATCCCTCCTGTGCCATCGCCTTCCTGTTAGGCTGTTGAGTTGCGTTTGCAGGACTTGAAATGAGTCACCACTAAAAAAAATTGTTTTTAGGTGCCAGGCAGTGATGCAGCAGTTAGGCAGCTGGGTCCACATAAGGCAGCTGGATCCCTAGCCTCCCTGAGGACACTGAGCATGGGCATGCCCCCTGTGATCCTGGCCACCTAAGCCTGGGGGTGGATCGCTGTGTGAGGACTCTGTTGTGGTATCTGTTTTTCCCTCTTTCTCTGTGTCTCTCTCATGGAAGAATTAAATAAGTTGCTTATTGTGCTAATGATGCCTCCACAGCTTAACACTTCACAATAAGCACTTAACACTTCACTTAAGCACTCTTTAGGACACAGATGAACAAATGAATGGAGTGATGAATGAGAGTGTATTTCCAGATGCACCTCTTCAATAAATTCTGTTCATCTTTCCTGAAGGCATAGAAGATTCCTCATTTTTCCCTCATCATGGCCTAAGTAGTTGTGGACCTACTTGAAAAATTTTCTCTATTATTTAAAAGCTAAACATTGGACATTTTCTTTTACAGCTATTGCTGAGGCAAGGGAAGAACCTTTCCCAGGGAGCCTGCAAGTCGACCACACGCCATTTTCCTTTCCTCACACCAGTGGGTACCAGCCGGCCTTGGTGTTTCCATCAGCGCAGCCTGGAAGACCGCAGACAGGAAATGCAGCCATTGCCCGCGTGACCTCCGCCGGGTCAAAGCTTCTCCCGCCTCTTGCGTTCAATCACACGGTTGGACACATAATACTTTCTGAACATAAAGATGTCAAATTTAATTGCTCAATCAAAGTACCTAATATGTACCAGGACACTCCAATTGCTTGGTGGAAAGATGGGAAGGAATTGCTTGGGGCACATCACACAATTACGCAGTTTTACCCAGATGATGAAGTCACAGCTATAATTGCTTCCTTCAGGTACGTGTGCTTTCTTCCTCTGTTAGTGTCATTATGCTAATGATGCCTCCACAGCTTCCCACTTCACAATAAAAAAACAGCCTTTTGTTTTCTGTGTAAGCTGCCTGCTGGTCCTGTTAGGATGTAGATGAATAGCTGACCTTTTTCCAAATGAGCTTGACCCCATTGGAACTATTGGTTCACACTCTGGGGGTTGAAGGCCTATTTCCCACCTGACCTACCAGTCATACCCTGTACAGCCAGACCCAAGAGCTCTACTGTGAGCGAGAACACTTGCTTTTTTTTTTCTTTCTTTCTTTTTTAATGTGAGGGAAAGTATACACATGCACAAGAGAGAGAGAGAGAGAGACAGAGGGAGTTGTTTTTGTTTTTGATTTTGTTTTTTTAAGAGAGATTTTTGCTAGCAGGCACATGTGCTCACTGGAGAGACAGAGACAGAGAGACAGAAAGTGAGAAGTCACCCCTCAGGAATGATGGCCATGCCACAGTCCTTTCTCCACAATTCTCCTCTTGGAATTTGGGGCATGCATTCACCGTGGGTTTCAAGCTCCTAGGTCTGACACTTGAACCACAGTTGGCCATGTGGGAGTCCAGCAACATAACCATTATGCCATCTGCTGGTCCCCAGAGGGAGGTTTTTGACAGAATCTCACCATATCACAGTCCTCCAGCCTCCTATTTAGCAAAGACTACAGATGCACGCCACCACACCCAGCCTGTTTGGTTGGCCTGGGAAATGAACTTGGGCCTTGCATGTGGCCCAGCCACAAACAATATAAGTGAGGTAGAGAAATCATTGGCTACATTTTCTTTTTTTTTTTTGGAGAGGTTTTTCTTGCTATAGGGTATGTGTGCTCGCCAGACAGACAGAGAGAGAGACAGAGAGACAGAAAGCGAGAAATCACCCCCTAGGGGGGATGGCCACGCTGCAGTCCCTTCTCCTCCATTCTCCTCTCAGGATCTTAGACACTCATGCACATGCGCCCAGCGTGAGTTTAAGCCACCGGATCCGGGACTCGAACCACAGTTGACTACATGGGAGTCCAGCAACATAGCCATTACGCTAACTGCTAGTCCCACCATTGGCTACATTTTGAAGTTTGCCTGCATTGACCTGGTTTAAAAGGTGGGATGTATGTCTGTGATTGACTGAAGCCTAGCTGCTGTGATTGGCTTTCAAGCTTAAGGTTGCCACATAGGCAATTCAACAGAACTTGAGCCTGGAATGTGATGATAATTGAGGACCATAGTTCTTTGTAAAATGGCCTGCTTAAAAAGGTATTATCTTTGTTGTTAGTCTAGTAATGCAAGTTATAACAACGTAGAGGCCTACCAGGAGAAATATAAAGATTTAAAAAACTTTGAAAAACACAAGCCTGTCATCTCCTATTTAGGATGCCTGTAAACTGACTATTAGTTGTACCTGTAAACACATCCTCTGTTCTTTAATCTCGAGAGACTTTTTAGTATATCTGGTGGCTGAGTGTAAGGAAGCAGCTGTATCAGCCACTTCTTTAATTAAACTTCGTGTGGTGATAAAGTCAGAAGAGAGGTAGGTACAACATTCAATTTTGTTTAGTATTAAACATAAGCCGCTAACTTGAGCAAAAAGGATATCTAAACCTGGATGATATTTCATTAAGTGTTTTGTTAAACTTGTATGTTAATCATTCACCTTTTGGAGTGTGGCTTTTACCCACCTGAAACCATAGGAAGGCTTATTGGCTATAAATTTTGGAAATTTTTTTCAGTTATAGATAAGATTTTAAAATAATCAGTATTTTATTATTGTCAAAAGCAAAGCTGTAGGGGGCCAGCAGTTAGTGTAATGGCTGTGTCGCCCAGGGCGGATGGCCATGCCGCAATCCCTCTCCTCCATTCTCCTCTCGGGATCTTGGGCACGCACGCACATGCGCCCGCCGTGAGTTTAAGCCACCGGGTCCGGACGTGAACTGCGGTCAACAACGTGGGAGTCCATCAACATAGCCATTATGCTAACTGCTGGTCTCCAGATAGTCTTTTTCTGTTGTCATTTTTAGAAGACCCCTACTCTGGACCATGGAGGGTTTGATTGTCTTCAGTCAGTGAATCACAAACAGCATTCTTTACCTGATGAAAATACACTTTGGCATATTGCATTAAAGCCTGGCAGAGTTTAGATACCTCAGATTTGTCCAAAAATGTCTTATGGAGAGAAATGCATTTTTAAATAAGCTTTTGACCACTGTTACAGTGTATCTAGAATACCGCATTCTCCCAAATGTTGCTCCGCTCTGCTCCATTGCTCCCTCCTAGAATCCCACAGATCATAAAATAGCTGCTTCTCTTCTACTGCCACTTTGTATTCTCTACCCGTTGCTCATAACCAGGAGGTTGTTCATTTGTTTGCACCGGGACTTCTTTACATATAGTTTTAGAACTGGATTGGCCTGTGGTCCTTAAAAGCTCAAGATGTGGTCAGAGCCTTGCAATGTTGGAGCGAGAACCTTTTCCGTGATTCCTCCACTCTGGAGTGGAGCCCTCTTTGATCTGCTGCATTTTCACTTTTTGTGACCTGACAACTTGGCACAGTCCCAAAGTGTGTAAGGCCCTTCAGTGAGTCATTTTATGCTTCCTTTTTAGAAGCCACCTCATAATTACCACAGTCCTGCCAACTCTGGTTACTGCTTCGTGTGTTTAGTTTAGTGTTAGAGTTTAGTTGTGCCTTTTCCCCAGGTTATGGGCTTGGCCAGTGCATCCCCCTCATCCTCACAGCGAAGAACACGAGCCCCGTGTTTTCTCTTGGTTCATGTAAGCTCTGGCTGAGTCAGGCTGCTGCCATTCTCAGCCAGGAGCTGAGACCACACAGAACATTTGACTGAACTTTGTGCCTGCATCAGCTACAAAAAGCCAATGTCTTACCATTGTATGGACATAGCTTCTGATGGGAGAAGTAAAATCATCCTTTAATAACAACTGAGGCTTAGAGAAACAAAGTGGCACATCGGTCTCACTGGGTGACGCTTCCCAGGAAGGGGAGGGAGCACGCATGCCTCTGCCTCGGCTGGGCCAGCCATGTGACTACGGGTGAGCCGCCCCATTCTCACTGACTGTAGTTCCCAGTCCGTGATGTGCCATGGAATGTTCAGAGGATTAAGCTGGAAAGTTGTAAAGTTTAGAGTCGTTGATGCCTTATTTTAGACTTGTGCCTTTAGAATGCAGAGGGTAACCTGGATGGTATTCTGAGAGCTTTAGAACTGTCAAGTAGTATTTATTCTCTTGCATATATTCAGCTTATTATACATAAACTCAGTCTAAAGGAGAAAAAAAAAATCTTATTTGACCTGCAAACTTAGCTTAAGATCAAATTTAGTGTTGAGAATTTTTGTGAAGAATGGACGTAACTGATTTGGGTATCATATAGAACAATCCAAAATCTGTCTTTTTTTTTTTTTTAAAGAAGAATTATTTATTTAATTAATTACATTTTTTATTATTATTATTTAGAGAGATTTTGCTATAGGGTGCATATGCTTGCCAGAAAGACAGAGAGAGACAGAGAGACAGAAAGCGAGAAATCATCCCCCAGGGGGGATGGCCACACCGCAATCTCTTCTTCTCCATTCTCCTCTCGAGATCTTGGGCATGCATTCACACGCACCTGGCGTGAGTTTAAACCACCAGGTCTGGGACTCAAACCACAGTCTACTACATGGAAGTCCAGCGACATAGCCATTACGCTAACTGCTGGTCCCATTATTTTTTAATTTGACCAGAGAGAGAAGGAATGTGAGAAAGCAAGCCACTTGGTTGAGGACTTGAACCGCAATTAGCCGTGTGGGAGTCCAGCACCTGAACCACCATGCCACCTGCCGGCTCCCCAAATCTCTCTTTGTAATAGTCTTCAGTTATATTAAGGTAATGTTCAGGTGGGACAGTAGCTGTTAAGGTAAGTCAGTGAAGTAAATTATAGAAACCTAATGAAGATTCTAAGTGTTAGTATAATTTCCTGGTAGGAGAGAAGGATGCTAGTGATCCTAAACTATCTTTTTTTTTTCTTTTTTTTGAGAGGTTTTTGCTATAGGGCATGTGTGCTCGCCAGAAAGACAGAGAGAGACAGAGAGACAGAAAGCGAGAAATCACCCCCCAGGGGGGATAGCCACACCGCAGTCCCTTTTCCTCCATTCTCCTCTCAGGATCTTGGGCACCCATGCACACGTGCCCGGCGTGAGTTTAAGCCGCCAGGCCCTGGACTCGAACCACGGTCGACTACATGGGAGTCCAGCGACACAGCCATTATGCTAACTGCTGGTCCCATCCTAAACTATCTTTTGTATGAGGACACAAAAGGCCCTGTGAGGAGGGTGACTTGTCCAGGGTTGCTAGATACTGAGTTAGTCAGACAAACAGGGAGCCTGGTTTCTACACGGGAAGCATTCTCTTTTCTTACATTTTCTGAGCTCTAAAGAAATCTGCTCTGGTTCCCAGAAACAAAGAAGAGTTAAAAGATGGTTCTAGGTTTTCACTGTATACACTTTTATTAGAAATTCGTTAGTCTACAATTTTGTTGGTGTTGCTTTAACACCATGTAGACCATGTGTATTCAGGGAATATACTAATAAAATTGTATGAAGGGACGAGAACACAAAATATAGACACCTGTGTGTTGACAGAGGTCAGAGGGACTCTAGAGAGAAACACATGGTATTTTGAGTTTAAGTCATAGGACTGTTTTTCTGTAAGGTACTATGATCACACATAGAAATTCCCACAGGAGCCAGACAGTGGCCCAGTCACCCAACATAACACAACACTCTGCAAGGCTGACCTACACCGAAAGATTCCTAGTTTGTGTCCAGAGACTTCCCTGAACACACTGGGCATGCGTAGGCTGGGGGTAGATCACTGCATGGAGAAACTGTTGGAATGCCTGTCTCACTGTCTCTTTGTTTCTCTTGCTCATGGAAGAAAGCAAAAAAAAAAAAAAAAAAAAAAACCCAACCTAAAATGAAAGAAAAATT